TCAGTTTGGGGGCTGTTTTCTATGCTACTGTGGCTCAGAAACTGTTGTCTGTACATTTATCCTGAAATGTTTTCTCCTAGAAGTTTTCAACATTTCAATATTAAAAATGCAGAAACAAAACTTTCCATCAAACTGGAATTTTGGTTTAGTTTAAAACAAAAAAATCAAATGGGCTTTTAATATCTGTTACCCAGGAATGAAAATATGACTTAGTCCCAAATAAATACTAAACTATGTCAAAGCTTGATTATATTTTCCAAATCAAAAGAGAGAAGAGTAATGTGCCCAATGATGAACAATAGAGTACTATACTAATTTTCATTATTGGGAGACAAAATTTAATCCTTGAGGCTTCCAAATTTGTTAATAATTTTGCTTTCTGAAGACACCAACAGTAGTGTATCCCTTCCAGCCCCTATTGCAACAGCTATTCCTACGTGAAGACCATCTATCTGCTCTTGACAGGCACCCTCTAAGTTCTCTCTGGACACCCTTCTCCCAGAATCCTCAGCATCCAGGGAGGAGATTGGCTTTTAGATGCTGATTTCCTCTGTTTTATCCATCAGTGGTTCCATCACAAGAGACCAAGGATTAAAAATGATTGTTACATGTTGTCTCACACATAGAAAGGCACACCACTCAACTGGTCTCTGCTGCTGCTTCATTGACTGTCTTTGTGATCGTTGGTTTCCTTCCTCCTTGCTATTTGTGGATACCACTTAGCTACATGCTTCTGTCCCCTTTCCTGGGAATATAAATAGTGCTTGGTGCCTAATTTTCTTTTTTCATGCCTCATATCACCTTTGTTCCCCATCTTTAAGATCTCTATTGGGGCGTATGGGCTTCCTTCAGTCTGTGGCATCCTTACAGCAATCAATTATCCTTTGTAATTACTCCTCAATTACAGATCCCTGTTCGTTCCCATTAAGGACCAGACAAGAACGCGCCTCTCGCGGGCAGGTGCATCAGATCTCTTACTTAGTCACAATTCGCCAATCTGCAGATCGAAGCTTCAGAGAACATTTACTGAAGGGCACAATTTGAGGTGTTTGTGCCTTTTCAGCCAGGATGGCTAGCCTCTCTGAGCCCTCCTAGCTAAAAGAGACTGAGCACTGCTCTCTTCTGAACTTCTGCTCCAGGTTCCCCTAGTCTCTGCGACATACAAAGGGCAGAGACTACAAATTGGTCTGTGATGGGGGGAGCGGTGTCACACATCCTTAAAATCCCTGACCCATCTGAGCTCTTTCTCCCAGGTATCTTAGTAACAGATAGTCACTTTGTCTTTCTGTGGTTGTAAAATGAAGTTAATGGTCCTTTCTCATTACTTCCAGCTACACTGAGCTTTCAAAACTCATCCCTTTCGTGTGTCCCCTTTATTGGCTGATGTTATTTTTGGCTGTTACAAATGTGATTTCCTGCTTTACTGGACAGTTTCCATAAAAACATACATGTTCTGAGCTCATGCACTGCATACTGAGAATTTCAGACAAGTGGGGACTGGGCGCTGGAGAATAGCACGCCTCTGTAGAACCATGATTTAAAATTCCACTCAGCAGCCCTTTGGAGATGTAAATTGAGGGAGCTGATCTCCTTTTGGACAGCTTAATGATCTGTAGTTAATAATAAGAGGCTGATGGGCAGATGCTGTACAGCTGGGCTTAGGGTAGCCTTGCCCAACTCTCCAAATGCCAAGGTGATTATAGCCATCAAGACCCAGATTCCGAGCAGGAAGCAAAAGCACCAAGAGTGGGCAGCAGGCTGTCAGTATCACCCACCTGCCCGGCCCCAGACACACAACACCTCCTTACAACTCCAGAGGAGGAAGAGTGCTGGACTTAGGACAATTTCTCTTCCTACTTGAATGCACACGATGTCACTAAATTTGTGAAAAATTAAGTACAGGTTCTTGAAGCTAGACAATGAGCATCAGAGAAGAAAGAAACTTTAGATGTGTATGTGCGGAGGGTGGGGGCGATATATAGAATACATGTGATGTGAAAGCAGAAGGGGACCAGTGGGGGAAGGGAAGGAACCAGCCAGAGGGGAACAGAGGATAGGGGAGAGGCCTAGAAGAGATGGATCAAGGAAAACAAATACATCTGAGAATACCATGATGAAACTCATTACTTTGTATGTTGATTTAAGAAAAAAGTCAAAGGGAGGGAGGAAAGCTTTGAAGAGCAAAATGTGAGTTTGAGAGTCATACAGTGTATTATTACAGGAGGCAGTTGCTAAGTGTTTGTGAAAAGATGGTTCAGGGCTTGGGAATGGCTCTGTGAGTAAAGCATACCAGGGGGTTGAGCCCCAGAATCCACATAAAAACCAGCTGCAGTAGCACAGTGTCTATGATCTTAGTGTATCTTTTCTGGGAGATGGAAGAAGTAAACATGGGATAAATATCCAAAATAGGGGGCCAGAGTTAGCCTGGCGTATGTTTGAGACCCTGTCTCAAAGTGGAAGGTGAAGACTGATATCCATGGTGTCCTCTGACTTCTGCATACAAGCTGAATTATGCACATGCCCTCATTCTCTCTCTCTCCCTCTCTCTCTCTCTCTCTCTCTCTCTCTCTCTCTCTCTCTCTCTCTCTCTCACACACACACACACACACACACACGAGATGGGGAGATTTGTTTCAGACTTTTTTTGTGTTGGGACCTCATATCCAGTTACAATTTTCAATATATTTTTATCTTTCCTCAAGAAACCCAAGCAAATTCAACTAAAGCAATCCCATTCAAAAATAACCAAAAGGCTTGAATAGACATGTCACCAAAGAAGCACATGAAGAGAGTCTAGGTCATTCCCTAGAGAGCGCATATCAAAAGCACATGGTGTTATCATCACATCAAGAGGCAGAAAAACACTAGTCAACTTCAGGGAGCTGAGACAAAAGAATCACTTGAAATCAGAGAGTCAGTGATAGCCTGGACAGCAGGGAAAACCTCTCTCTAACTCAAACATAAATCATAAATATTAGTGAGGATGTGGAGAAACTGCACCCTTAGTGTGCTGTTGATAGATGTGTAAAAAAAATCACACAATAGGTAGACAGTAGTACGGCAGTTTCTCAAAAGTTAAAATTATATCAACCATGTGGTCCAATAATTCTGCTTTCAGCTATGTACCACAAGAAATTTAAAACAGTATCTTCAAGAAATATCTGTACATTTGTGTTTCTAGCAGAATTATCCACAATAACCAAAAGGTAGACGCAACCCAAGCATCCACAGTAATATGATTACATAGATACAATGTAGTGAATTCTATGCTAAAATAATCCAATTGACAGAAACCAAGAATAAGATGGTGGGTGTCAGGGGTGAGGAAAGAGAGAACGGGGCGTTACTGTTTATTGAAGAGTTTGGTTTTACATAATAAAAGAGTTCTGGGTAATAGATGCTGGCAATTGTTGTACAACAAGGTAAAAACAGTTAAGACTACACAAATAGTTATTTCTCAAAGATGGTTAACATAGTATTTAAGTTACACAATTATGTGTTTCACTATAATATTTTAAAAGCATGAGTGGCTATGATCCCTTAAAACTATAATAACAACCAACCTAGCAAGATATATGCATGGGTACAATAGTGGCATGAATGTTATGGAAGTAAACATCTGGTTTCCACTTAGATTTAGAGCATTCTCTACAGGAGGAAATGCATGCCTAGCATCTGACCAAGAGCCCATGGCTGGAGAGCTCACCTACTACTATTTCTTATTTTGCTAAGTTGACTCAGTATCAGACTGCCTTCCAAATTTCTATCTCTATACCCATAGAGTATTGTAGCTCTCAGACCCCATTAGAGAAAATTTGTTCAGGAAATAGTGGTTAACACAGAAACTCAGAAGTAGTCAAAGTACAGAGATTAAGTATCTGAAGAGTGCTCAGCCACAAATGGTACCTCTGGATCACAAGGATTGGGGCCTATCGTGGAAGAGGATGTAGAAAGATTATATAAGCCAGAGGTCAGGGAGAAGCAGATGGATACGGTCGGTGCCTTCTGGATGTGACAGGACCACTGCACTCATGAACTCACAGCAGCTGTAGTTGCCTAACAAGACCTGCACAAGAAAAGGAAAACAGTCTACATTCTACAATAGCACGTGGAGGGACTCAGCAACCCCTTCCCCGGGTGAGATCTGTTGAGAATGATGGCTGCTACGGAAGGAAGAGCAGGTTTTATTTCGTTTTCGTTTTTGAGACAGGGTTTCTCTGCATAGCCTTAACTGTTCGGGAAGTCACTCTGTAGATGAGGCTGGCCTCAAACTCATAGAGATCCACCTGCTTCTGCCTACCAAGTGCTGGCATTAGAGGTGTGCATCACCACTGCCCAGCCAAGAGAGTTTTCTTTAAGGCCATGGTCCCCAGTTAGTTCAACCATGCTCCAGCGAATGGCCCCACCTCATGAGTATGTGGGTAGCACAAACTAGACTCAGTCAATTGTATTAAAAAAAATAAGAGAAGACATGAAGCTGGAAGGAGTGTAAGGAGGTGTGGGGTATCATGGGAAGACTTAAGGGAAGAGTGGAAACAAATAGCAAAACACACTGTATGCATATATGAAATTCTCAAAGAACTAATAAGTATATTTTGAAACATAATAAATAGGAGGGCTAGAGAGATAGCTGAGAAGCTAAGAGCACTGGCTGCTCTTCTGAAGGACCTTGGTTCGATTCATCCCCACTGCAGCTCACAAATGCCTGTAACTCCAGTCACTGGGAATCCAATATCCTCTGCTGGCCTCTGTGGGCACCAGGCACCCACATGGTACACAAACAAACATGCAGGCAAAACACACACATAGAAATAATTACATTTTAAAATCACATATATAACTAAAACAAACAAAAACTCAGTGTGCGTGAGTGATTATCCCCCGAGAAGCCTGGGCATTGGAGGGGCAAAAGGGAAACAAAGGGGAAAAGCCAAAAGAGGAACTCAATCTTGTCTTCATGAAGAACTAATTATAATTTGCTTTTTATTTTTTCTTAACAGAGTCACTTTTCTCTCAAGAAAGGAGCTGCAGCCCTAGGGATCGGAACAGACAGCGTGATTCTGATTAAATGTGATGAGAGGTGAGCAAGAAATCTGCATCCCTGTCAGTTAACCATTTAAAAATGCCCCACAGGTGACTCTTTGTCTGAAAGGAGTGATGACTATTGGGCAGCAATGTTGCTTCGCTCTGAGACAGGGCCACACACTGTTTCTTTGGAGCACAGACTTGCTTGAAATCTCCAGATGTTGTTCCTTGAAACCATGGAGCCTTTCACAACTCCTGGATGAATTGGAACCTTTGTTAAATCAATCAAAACTGTCCTCAGTAGCAGGTATACAGGGACATTTATCACCTAGGCACATTAGCAACAGGCGATTAAAGCAGTGATTGATGCTGAGCAGCACTGAGCAGCATGGATTATGTAAACTTGCTGAAGTAAATGATGCCCCATCAGCTCAACAGCTTTGGGCAGCAACCAAAGAGTCGTCTTGAGGAAACTGTCTTAATTGGTACCCAGAATTCACAGCTTTCTAGAAAATAGGTATGATACCACTGTGGGGAGTCAGTAAAAATCATCTTTAGGTTATCCGTGTAAAGTACCACCGACTGATAAACCTAGAACTTACGAGAAATCAAACACAATCTTTAAAGGATTGAATAAGAGCGTTCACTAAATTAAAAGAAAGCAGGACAATGAGCATTTATCAGTTCAAAGGTGTCTATCAGACAGCTGAGCTCTGGCCATCCACCATGTCACTAGGCTCCAAAAAACCTCAGAGCATCATCTCCATTCTCTGACAGCAGAGAATGTAAGTGGGAAGATGCCACAGATTAGAAGACAACTGTGGCATGGTTGGATTTTCAGTGTAGGGTATACTGTGTGTGATGCTGAGGTATGGGAAGCTTGGTGAAGCGTTGGGAGGAAGCTGGAGTTTTCCAGTGGAGGGAGTGCTAACGTGGGCAAGGGAAAGGCAGGGACAGTCACAGAATACAGCATGTCTCAAGTACAGCCACAGAAGGAAGCAGGATGGGACACCTTATGAGGCACACAGAGTGGGCCTGATCAGAGAAGAGAGAAAGAAATTCATGGCAAATACGTTTGGTCACATGGAAAGATCTAAAATCCCAAAAGACAGATGGACAGTTGCATTGACCTCCAATAAATAACACCTCATTTTTATAAATGGGGGAGGGGCAGGTACTGCAGTGCTCAGTAGTCTGAGGCAGGAGGGTTTCAGTTTCAAGACAATTGGGCTACATACAAAGACCTCGTTTTTAAACAAATGAGAGGAAGAGAAAGAGAGACAAAGATGGAGATGGAAATGGAGAGAGAGAGACAGAGACAGACAGAGAGAGGAAAGAAATGTATGTGCCATTTTTCCTTTGAGTGGGGGAGAGCTGAACCTATCGCTGGCCAGGATAGAGCAGCAAATAAGGCAACCTGAAAATGCTTCTCTCCAAACGTGAAGTGACTGAAGCCACCCTCCAGGAAGCATGGGATGGCCAGGACAGGGACTCTAGGAATAAAGCAGGCAAGAAGCAATGAAGGCTTGCAGTAAGGCAAACATTTCTCGATAGAGGACCTGTCTCATATTCCTTATTATGAGATGCACGAGAGTAAGATGTGAAGAGAAAGTCAAAAAAGAGGCAGCAGCTTCGTATTCATTTTCTTTGTTTTATTACTAGAATAAATTGCTGATGGGAAATGTATCTACAAATAGAAAGCAATAGAGCATATAGAGTCAAATTTAAATTTTTTTGGTATTTTTAGAGACAGGGCTTCTCTGTATTATTTTAGAGGATGTCTTGAAACTCATTCTGTAGACCAGGCTTTCCTCAAACTCACAGAGATCCGCCTGCCTCTGCCTCCGGAGTGCTGGGATTAAAGGTGTGCACCACCAACACCCGGCAAGTCAAATTTAATTTTTTTTTGATTTTTTACGAGACAAGGTTTCTCTGTATTGTTTTGGAGGCTGTCGGTCCAGCCTGGCCTCGAACTCACAGAGATCCGCCTGCCTCTTCCTCCCGAGTGCTGGGATTAAAGGCGTGCGCCACCACCGCCTGGCTTAATTTTTTATGAATATGCAGCTAATCTAAGTAAGAAACCAATAATTTAGAAAAGATCACCAGGCCAGACCCTTGGCCTCTGACCTACTTAGTCACCAGCCTAGTTAACAGATGTCCCAACATGGAATCCCAGTGGGATGACAGGTGACCTGTGACAGCATGGGGAGCTCTGGACTCCACGAAACAAGGCATCAGTATTGCTGCTCCTGCTTCAGTGGAATCACGTGTGACCATGGAAGTGGCCTTGAGTGGGGTGGCCACAGCAAGGGTCTAGCCGCCCGGTGGTAGATTAATCAGAGACAAGGTTGTACTCAGAAGGGAAAGGTAAGCCTGAAGAAAACAGAGCAAGAACAGAAAAAGGACAAGATGCAGGAAAAGACCACACAGGGACCTTCCAGCACAGAGGCCCCAAAGGGTATCATTCACCAGCAAGAAGCAGAGAAAAGTGCAGGGGAAGGGGAATTCTGGGAAAGAACTCCAGGGAGATGCAGACTCACTAACTAGCCAGTCATCCTTAATTTTGAAACTGGTTTTGTTTTTTTTGTTTGTTTGTTTGTTTTTTAATTTCAACTATTTGAGAAACCATCTGAGAGACTGAATGTAGCAAGTCTCTTTATGTATTGCCAGTCAGCTCCCAAACAATGTTTTGGAGAATTTTTGTTAACTATGAAAGTTCGGCCTATAGCATAGGCTTGCTCCTCACTAGCTCTTATAACTTCATTTAACCCATTTCTATTCATCTACATTTTACCACGTGGCTTTTTACCTTTCTTCCATTCTGTATGCCCAACTCTGTCCGTGTCTCATTGGCATTTCCCCTGTGCCTCGATTATGCTCCTACTTCTTCTCTCTGCCCAGAAGTTCTGACTACACCTTCTGCATAGCTACAGGCCATACAGCTCTTTAGTAAACCAATCACAGCAATATATCTTCACATAGTGTACAAATACCCCATAACTGAACAGCTGCACCTTTTCCCGAAAAAGCTTGGCTGCTAGGGGCCCCTTCCTCATGTCTGTCCCCTGGGAAGTACTGAGGGAAGGAGTCATCAGACAGTGGGGATCTGGGGCCATTTCTTCTTGTGTTCAAGAGCCTTGGGGAAGGAAAAGGTGGGGGAACAACATACAAACTAAGGAAACAGATTCCCTTTTTTTCTAGGAAAGAAAGAAAGGATAAGAAACATTAGGAAAGCCAGGCGTTGGTGGCGCACGCCTTTAATCCCAGCACTCAGGAGGCAGAGGCAGGTGGATCTCTGTGAGTTCAAGGCCAGCCTGGTCTACAGAGGGAGTTCCAGGACAACCTCCAAAGCAATACAGAGAAACCCTATCTCAAAAAAAAACAAAACAAAAAAAAAAGAAAGAAAGAAAAGAAAGAAACACTAGGAAAAAGAAAGCTTAGGGGAGGGGGATGGAGGGATTGTAAGTGGGAGTTAAATAAGGGAAGAGGAATATTTCCACCTGAAAACCTTTACAAATCCTGTAGGGCAATTATTGTCTAAACCGTGGGGGGTTCTTTTCTAAACATTTAGGTAAGTTCTTTCTTTTCTTTCTTTCTTTTTCCCCCTTCCCTTTGTCTATTTGTGATCATGTTTTCTTTTTCTCACTAGATATGACAATGTAAACATGTCCCATGTTACTGAAACACATATACATTGTAACAGGTATTGTCAGGAAGCACACAGAGCTCCCAACCCAGCTCAAGTGCTAGCCTGGGCAAGCCCTTCTTTGTGCTTCAGTTTCTTTATCTAAAAAAAAAAAGGAGGAAAGAAAGGATGCCTGCTTCAAATAACAACAAATACGAAATCCCCCCCAAAATGTATCTCGAATGGGATTAGCACAAATATTCATCTGCTAGTGTGCTTCTGTTACTGATATTACTAATAGAAGCCGTTTTTCTGTTCTTTAGTGAATATCCTATGTCTGGGACTCCTCCATGCATTACAACTTAAATCATATTTAAAAGGCTTACACTGAGCCAGAGTACTAATCAAGGCTGTGGCTAACACACTGTCTCAGCAGGATCATACCAGCATAGGGCCAGGAAAAGTTTGTAACTATGCAAAGTCTTTAATGTTGCATTGATAATTAGTAGCTTTTTAGCATGTATTTAAGAATGAGATCCAAGATTTAATGACTTAAGTGAAATCCAAGGAGGCAGCCTTGCACAGGCAGAGCTCCAGTTTAGAAAACCACTGAGGGGTGACAAAGTGAGCTCTGATGTGCTTCCCAAAACGGAAACCTAGACCTGTTCTCTAAACTCTCGCAGCCCATGCCTCCCTTCCTCCCTCCCTCCCTCTCCAATTAGCATAGAAATTAATGGGTTTGCTATGGCATTTTCCTACATACTTCCCATTAGTCATTCTGCTCTAGTTCCCCCCAGCCCTTCTCCTGCTCTTCTCTGGCTCCTAGTGGTCCCCTCTGCCTTCATGTCACATGGATTTACTTTTGTCCCCTCCTCATTTAAGAGCTTCTTTTCCTTTCCAGTGTTTTATTTTTAAAGCTTTGTGACCTATCCTCATATCCTCCCACAAATATAAAAATTAAAACATGGGATCTGCATATGAGAGAAAACACCGGGCAAGTGCCTCCTCGTGCCTTGGTTTCTTTAACTCATTCCCTGGATTTACTCTTTGCAGGTGGTCACATCAGTCTAGTCGTGGCTGGGGTGGTGGGCTTGCTCTTATTTTTCAGTAAAAAGTTCACAATTGGAGAGAACTTTTCTAGTGAAGGGAATCAGAGTGCACATTCTGAGGGACAGACCCACAGGCACACGCAGAGGAAGATCCCCACAGGTATTCTCCTTTGGCACTCACAGGTACTGGCTTTGGTGATGTGTTTAAAGTGAAACTCAGTCCTTAGTTGAAGCCATAAAGGAGAGATGCCACATATTTAAGTTCTCATTTGATTAGTCTGTGTTCTCCTGAGTTGAAAATTTAAAAAAAAATCTAAGTTTATATATACTGTCTTAGTTAGGGTTCCTATTACTGTGAAGAGACACCGTGACCACAGAAAC